AAAAAAAAAAAAAAAAAAAAAAAGAAAAAGCTGTAAATCCAGGGAATAAACATAAGTAAATGCATGACAGCTTAAAAAATATAACCATAGCAGCATCAAGCCATGAGATTTCACACTGGTTTTGTTTAGTCTGCTTTGGGTTATGTGGGAAATGTGAAAAGCATGAAGCAAACGCTCCCTCCTCTCCCATCAAGCCCCCCTTCCCCTGCAAAAGCTYGGGCCTCAAATATTTAAGCCAGCAGGTTTATACCTCTCGAGTAGKAAACGGGCCATGACCCGGGGATACTCTCTCGAGTAGCAGCCTCAAAGAAAGATGTAGCACGATCAAAGCTGCGGACGGACGAAAGGGAGCAAAGCCAAGTGTCAGCCGCCCTCTGACCCCTTCTTTTCAATTAATATTTAAATGCCAGGASACACCAATCTATCACGCGGATGGACAATTTCTGCCCCACCGCAGCTCCTTTCCGCCTGTAACGCGGCTCTCCTTGGAGCGCAGCTGTGGAAACCATCCCGGTTGCAGAAGGAGTGAGTGAACTTTGCTCTGTCCCTTGCAGTTTCGGAGGGAGCGCATTCAGAGCGTGGGGTCAAAAAACAATTTCTCTGCCTCCAAGCTACAATTTCCACTTCAAAAACATGACTGTGGGTTCTGTGTTCTTAGTGCAATACAGGTAGGGGTGTTTTTGCTAGTGGCATCATCAGATGCTCACACGCTTAACTCCTCACAGCGCCAACACCAGCCCTGAACTCTGTAAAAATCTTCTTCAAACACCAAGTTCCCCAAAACTCTCCATCAAGACCATCAGCAAACATCGGGGCGCTGAAGTGGCTCCCTTCGTTTTATGATTGGCCTGTCCAGAAAACACCAAATCCTTATTAAACTGCTCTCCATGAAGGTGGACTGAGGATCACAGTGTGAGGAATGGGATGAGGGAGAGCACAGGAAGGATGCACTCCCGAAGCCAGCCAGGATGCACTCCCGAAGCCAGCCAGGGGAGCCACAGAGAGCTGTTTTTAGTTGAAGGCTTGTCTACTCGAGTGATTTTTTCTATGCATTTCACAGTATTTTGTTTTACCTATAGTCCCTGCTGCTGCAACTGAGAAAATGAATAAAGTTGTTTATCCCCCATTAAATTATATATAATGCATACATGTTTACATATGTAATGTTGTATGTTTGTGTGTACTATGTATACTATATGCACTATATACTATAATATGCACACATATATAGACAAGCGTATTTATATATGTCTACATATGCACACGGATATGTACATATGAACATACATGTATACGTCTGTAGTACATAAAAGACCCAAAAACCAAGGTTTTTAGCTTGAGTTAAATAGTTAAATAGTTAGTTAAATAGTTAGTTAAATAGTTAAATAATTAACCTCTCACTAAAAATACTTGGGACTGGGTCCTCTGCTTTTCAAATCCACATCAGTTTGGGGAAAGACTCTTTTTTCCCTGAAGACAAGCTTCTGAAAGGGTTCTGAAAGGGATGATGCAGGTTGCAGGGCAGGGACATGTAGGGGTTTGGGGCTTGTGAAGGACTGGTTACAGGGATCAGCAGGTTGTGCAGCATCTCTCACACACACATCTCCTCAAAAAAAGGAAGGGGTCAGGACTTTTGTGCATGACTTATAAGCTGCAAACCTGGCCTGGACCCAGTTCAGCCACTGAAGCTCATTGCTCAGCCCATCAGGGCACTGGGCACCTCAGGAACTGGGCTCAGCTGTCCCATAGAGCCCTCCAGGGATCACAGGATCTGCCACGGTGGGCTGGCACAGCCCTGCACAGCTCCAGGCTCAGCYCCTGGGCCAAAAGCCAAAGGAAGAACTTGGCCCAGCGAGAAACACTGTGCAGGTCCAGCTGTGCTTCCGATCAAGTTGAAGAGAAGGGCAAAAATCAAGAGGGAAAGCCCAGTCATTAGAGCAGACATTAGMAACCCAAGCTGCTGGGTCACAGCGTGATACCCACGCAGAGCATAAATTCAGAACCACCACCACAGGAAGCGCTCAGCTAAGCAGCAAAGGTTTCACATTACAAGGCAGCCTTAATTCAGGTTGTTCTCGCTTTTGAGGTACTTTCACTGCAGTTGTGGAGACAGAATGGTGACATGTGCTAATTGAGCRTAAATGTTTCTCAAGCCAGTTTTGCTTGGAAAAGCTGCTCTCCTGGCTGTTTGTCTCCTGCCGGACCAAGCTCGTGAGAAGCTGGGGCAGCAGACTGCAACGAGAAACCTGAGAGTGCTTCAAACCAACCAGGTCTGATCCAGCTAACAGGGAAGCTGCAGCCATGCAGAGCTCAGAGGGAGAAGGACAAGCACGTGAAAGGCTGAGGAAACACTCAGATGCACAATTCTGGCGTAACCCCCGCTGCTAAAACAACATCCTAGCCAGCTCGTTTGGAGTGAGCTCCCCGTACGTCTCTGTGCCCAGCACGCAGGTATCCTCATGGGCTGACAAGCGGTGTGCCTGGCAGGGACAGTTTTACTTGGTGCAACCTGCCCCCCGTTGTCCCACGCATGGGTACGTTTCTCTGGAGCTGCTGCAGGTCATGGCCTTAGCTGCTGGAGCTGAACTACCAAGCAGGGAGCGCCGCGGAGCTGCTGTCTCTCTCAGCGGCCAAGAGTGGCAAGTGCATGTCCAAAGCTCCTGAGTGCACAGGTGCTCCCCAGGGGCACCACAAGGCTGCCAGAGGTTCCTCCTCTGTGGGATGCAGGTGCTGAACATAGAAGGTCCCTTGGCATCTTTGAGGGCTTCCAGCAACCGCCCCAGAAGGGTGCTGGTCTCTCATGTCTTGCCTCCCTGCCCTGTGGGGAAGCTCATGGTTCCACAGGTCATCTAAAGGGCTCTGGACTGGGTGTCAAGACAACTTGGTCCTATGTCATCTGCCCTATGGCAGGACCAACTAACCCTCACCAGAGCACTAATGTTGTCTCTTTGCTTCTGTAGGTTCTCCACTGTGGACAAAGCACAAACTTGTGTCAATTATACGAATGAAGTGATCATCACTATCAAGCKTCCAATTTCTATAGCTTAGCTCTGGGACCAGTCACAACGCAGCTGTGTCACTAACAACCATATTTAAACTACAGCGCCTTTTCAGGTCAAAGTCACTCCTTGTTCTCAAGAGTTATCCTTCCTGTGATAGCCAGGCCAGGCAAAMCGGATTTATCACTCTCCTGAGGCCTGTATTTGGGATCCAGAGTGAGGTAGTTGCTGCACATGATTTTTCTGGTCATGTATAAGAGCAACCAGTAGCACTCTGGGGGTCCTCAAGAACATACAGGCTTAGTTAGGTCTTTACCTACCACTTGCATCTTTTTTTTTTTTTCTGGTTGACATTGACCTCCATAAGGTAGGGAGACATACAAGCATAAAAAAAAAAAGATGAAAAAACTGCTCTTGTTTGAAATCAGTATTCCTTCCCACCTGCAGAAGGCTAATTGTTTGCCATTTTTCTAAAAATGTTTATTTCGTTCAAATTCCCTGGGGCAAGGCTACTTCAAGGTTAATTTTCTTTGCCTCTAGAAGCTCACTAGCAATTCATTTGGTAATTCCCTTTTTTTTTTTTTCTTTCACATTCTGCTCATGCGTCTCCATGTTGCCAATTTAAAAAAACAAAGATCAGTTTTACAAGATGAACTGCAGGATCATGGTAACGCTACATGTGGAACCCCAAAATTTGTCCGAGCTTTTATTTTATAACAAAGTACTTGCTCTTGGCACRGATTTTGCTGTCTGCTGCCGAAGGCCTGAGAGGGCATGCTTGAATAGATACGTCAAAAAGAACTGCTGACAAGAGCAACTTGCAAACTGTGGACCATTGTCTGCAGTTAAGTTGTCTGAAATCCCCTGGCATGCAAGCTAATATTTTCAGAGGGGTCCCCGAAGTCAGTGACTCCTCTTGCCGACRCAGCAGCTCAGGCTGYGCCCAGCTGAGACGCAGTGCCACCYAGACCCAGGCAATACAGCAAACTTCTTTACCCATTTTAATAGCACTAGCAGATACTCTGATGGGGCTTGCGTCGTATAAAGCTCTGGGTAGGATCTGCTGCTTCAATCGGCTTCATCTTCTTCAAAACATTGGCGAGACCCGYAGCCTGGGCTCTGAAAGGACGTCAATCAACACGCAGCCC